ATGTCAAGCGATACAATCGTATAGACTATTTCTTTATAAACTGAACCAATCAGAATAGAAAAAGAAACACAACAACAACGTAGGGAGCTTCAGCTCAATGAGAGGATTAGACTTGAACCCAAGAGATTCATAGCTAATTAGAAAAACTGTTTTGCCATAATCTTTAGAACATGACTCTGATCCTTGTACTTACAAAGAAGTCATTGGAGATATTAATGCAAAAATATGGACTAGAATCATTCAGAGATGGAATCTATGGATTTAATCAAGTCTGTGAACTTATAAATCTTAATGATAAGATCAAGCTTAATGGGTGTAAATGGGTCTACAAGAGGAAAGAGAAATGTAGAAGGAATGGTTGAAACCTATAAGGTTAGACTGGTAGGTAAGAGATACACGCAAAAAAAAGTAATCAATTACAAAGAAACCTTTTCGCCTATAGTCATACTAAAGTCCATCTGCATTCTCGTATCCATTGCGGTTGCTCTAAATTTTTTGTAAAGTATTGTTATATCTAAAAAGGTATCATATTCTATTACATATCTGATCATGAATTGCCTGAATCTGACTATATAGTATAGTCTAATTCAAAGCTCAGCTCTTAAAATCTCTTTCCTTTTCTGGCTGATTTTGCAACATTCATGAGCAAGTCTTTCAAGGAATTTGATACTAGCATATCAAAGCTTTGGTGTAGTTTAGGCCTCATTCAGTTTTCTAATTCAAGTTTTTAATTTGAGCTGGGATGTGACTTTTTGTGAGAGTTTCTAAATCTAGCAACTCGAATCGAAAAACTGAATGAAGCCTTGTCTTTACATTTACTCCGGCACATTTGCTGGGAAGAGGGAAACAGAAGAGCACATAAGCAACGATGCCGTGTTTGGTGCCTTTTCCTTGATATTTCAGGGCTTGTTCTTTTGAGTGAAAAATTTAAAAAAAGGCAATAGATTTATCCATTTAAACTTATTTGATAAGTTGTTCAATTTAGAATTCAAATTAATTTAAGTTTGACTTAAATTTGAATTTGAATTTGAGTCAAAATTGAACTACAGGATAAATGATGATTTTCTCTTCATTCCCTATCTAAAATTGGTGCCACACAGGGATGAGAATCCCCTAAGGTGGCCGGCCACACTAAGGATAAAGGAATGGGAGATTTTATTTTAAATTCAAATAGGAGATAATTGACAAGCTTTATCTTGGAGATAGAGATTGGATTCCTTTTAGAAGTTTGACTTCTACTCTATAAATAAGAGAATAGTAACAATTTTTGAAACAATTTTTGACCTAATACAATATTATGGCCGAAATTCTCTTAGAGCAAGGGAAGAAAAAATTTTTCTCCAAAACTTTCACATCGTGCATGCGTTGGTGTTTGTGGAAATTCGAGTGTTTATTGTAACCCGTTTTGTCTCATGTGTGCCCACACACACGTCTTCGTAGATTCTAGGAATTGACGTGGAAGACATTGGTTTTCTAAATACAAAGCTTTGGAGTAAGGATTGTTCAAGGTCAAAGAACTCAAGTTATCATCCTAATCGGCCGCCGGGTATTTTTCCTAATTGAGTTCTTAATAAATAAATTAATAAGATTAATTTATTCGTGCATAAATTAATATAATCTATAGAGTATCTCAAAGGTTTTATGAAAATTTTTGTTATACACGATCCGCCTCCCCCCACGCTTCCGCATCTGAATTCAATTCGGAGACCAACAGTGAGTTGTTGCGGGCCACAGTTTTCTCAGTCCGATTCTTGCGGGCCGGCCCAAATCTTACCAAAAAACCAACCCTACCTGGCCGAATTTCACCCTTAGTTGAGGTGCAGACTGCACTGTATTGACATTCTTTTTTGTTTTTTTTTTGTTTTTTTTTTGTTTTTTTTTTGTTTTTTTTTTGTTTTTTTTAACTCTTTCAAAAGAACGGCCATGTCATTTGTTGTCGTTTGCTAAAAACACAACATATCATTGATGAAATCCATTTATCATGTGAGATATTATCTCGTGCATTGGAGAGAAGAAATAGGACTTTATTAGATATGGTATAATCCATGATGAGTTATTCGACATTGTCTATATCTTTTTAGAGATATGCTTTACAAATTGCATATTATCTTCTAAATAACATGGTAACAAAGTCAGTTTATAAAACTTCTCATGAGTTGTAGATGGACATGAAGACATACTTAAACCATATCCACATATAGAAATGTTCTGCACATGTCCTAAATAAGTAAGTGAACAAGTTAGAAGCACATTTGGAAGTGTGCATTTTAATGGAATATCCAAGAGGGATGGAAAGGGCTTATTGCTATAACTTTAAGGAAAATAAAATCGTGGTTTCAATGAAAACAACATTCCTAGAGCAGAGTATCATGAATGATTTTAAGCCTCGAAGCATAATGGTAGTCGAGAAGATGTCAAGCGATACAATCGTATAGACTATTTCTTTATAAACTGAACCACTCAGAATAGAAAAAGAAACCCAACAACAACCTATGGAACTTCAGCTCAGTGAGAGGATTAGACTTGAACCCAAGAGATTCATAGCTAATTAGAAAAACTGTTTTGCCATAATCTTTAGAACATGACTCTGATCCTTGTACTTACAAAGAAGTCATTGAAGATATTAATGCAAAAATCTGGACTAGAATCATTCAGAGATGGAATCTATGGATTTAATCAAGTTTGTGAACTTATAAATTTTAATGATAGGATCAAGCTTAGTGGCTGTAAATAGGTCTACAAAAGGGAAGAGAAATGTATAATGAATGGTTGAAACCTATAAGGTTAGACTGGTAGGTAAGAGATACACGCAAAAAAAAAAACAATCAATTACAAGGAAACCTTTTCGCCTATAGTCATACTAAAGTCCATCTGCATTCTCGTATCCATTACGGTTGCTCTAAATTTTTTGTAAAGTATTGTTATATCTAAAAAGATATCATATTCTATTACATATCTGATCATGAATTGCCCGAATCTGACTATATAGTATAGTCTAATTCAAAGCTCAGCTCTTAAAATCTTTTTCCTTTTCTGGCTGATTTTGCAGCATTCATGAGCAAGTCTTTCAAGGAATTTGATATTAGCATATCAAAGCTTTGGTATAGTTTAGGCCTCATTCAGTTTTTTAATTCAAGTTTTTAATTTAAATTGAGATATAATTTTTTGTGAGAGTTTTTAACTGCAGTAGAAAAAGTTAAAAGTAATTTTTTATGAGAATTTTTAACTCTAGTAACTCGAATCAAAAAAATGAACGAAGCCCTGTCTTTACATTTACTCCGGCACATTTGCTGGGAAGAGGGAAACAGAAGAGCACATAAGCGACGATGCCGTGTTTGGTGCCTTTTCCTTGATATTTCAGACTCTTACACTCATATCCTTACTTCACTGTCTTTAGAAAATACTTTCTAATTACAGTGAGCGTATGTTTAGTATTGAGTTTTTATTAAAATACTATCTAAATACAAATTCAAGTTTTGACTCACTCAAACACAAACTCAAAAAGATTTTTATCTCAAACCATAACTCAAATGTACACAACCAAACACAAACTCAAGTTATAAGTTCAATTCAAGTTATAACTCAAATTCAACTCAAATTAAACTCCAAAAGAACAAACCCTCAGACTCTTACACTCATATCCTTACTTCACTGTGTCTTTAGAAAATACTTTCTAATTACAGTGAGCGTATGTTTTTTATTTCTTTGAAAATTAAGTATACCACAATATTAGTGGGTTTTAATGTAATCTTAATGTCGATTTAATTGTAATAAACATAAATTATGATTTGCTAGAGACAATGAATTCAATGGAAATATTATCAATCATATGAAAAAATTGAATTGACGTGGCTTAGTTGTTGTTTTTGCCTTTGTTTTGTTGCTCTACTTTTCTTAGTAATTCATCGTTATAGTAATTCCAACCTATTGGCTTTTTAATTTTTAATTTTTTGATAAATAAAGTCCCCTATTGCACTTGTTTTGTTGCTCTACTTTTCTTAGTAATTCATCGTTATAGTAATTCCATCCTATTGGCTTTTTAATTTTTAATTTTTTGATAAATAAAGTCCCCTATTGCATGATTCAAGAGTTTATTTGAATTTTTTTGAAAAAAAAAAAATTCATATTTACAAACGTAGAAAAGCCATTAAAAAATATTGATATCGATAAACGACATTCATTGCAAGAAGTAACAAAACCAATTAACACAAATGAAGGATACATGAAGAAAACAGTTTGTAATGTGATGGTCTCCACATGTTTAAATAAAATAAGAATGATAAAAAATAGTAAGTAGAACCCATGAATCTCCTTACAGCAAAACGAAAAGAAATATAAATCTTTCAGGCACATCCCTTGAATCAAATTACACAATGCAAGGGTTATCGCGTTTTGTAGTTCTGCTATTTTTACAGCAATTGCTGTCTTTATATTTTTGTGGAAAGCTAAGAAACCGGATGCACAACCACCATTCCCAAGACTTATAATATGCCATTTTGTTGTACGAGAAGTACTCATGATCGGAAATTTTAATATTTTTCTCGACAATTTGCTTTTGGACGTGTGATGACAGGACCTATCACCTATTCAGTCAGTTTATGAGTTCAAATTCAGAATCCTATTAGGTCTGTAATTTGTTGATTTTCTGCTGATAGATTTGTCATTTGAACTAAATAAAACAAAATAAATAGATCAAAGAATGTATTTAAATGTATCCAATTTGGTCTATACGTTTTGATTTTGATTTAAATGTATCCAATTTCGCTTGTTCACTATATGTACAATTTTCTTTTCTTTTTGCTAGCATGGTTATCCTATAATATTGAATTTTCAGAATAAAAACCGTTTAATAAGCTTTAAAATTATCTGGAGGAAAAAGAGGAAAAAGAAAAACAATTTAACAAAAAAAGATGAGACTTCTAGTTGGAGTGAACGCCAGGTAATAGTATTCACGAAAAGTTTTCATCCTAAAATAGATTACAAATTGTAGAAATGCGTTTGAGAGATAAAAGAAGGTCCAACTTTCTTCAAGTGATCTTAATAATCACAAGTTTAATAAGAAATCTCAAGTAAATTTACAAATTGATGGTTACTGCCAATTGATAGAAATATATACAAGATATTGCAGAATGGCAGGAGTGTTTATTCAACCGAACAGCCACAGGTCCTGTAAATGTCTAGTAGTAGCAAACTTTTAAGTTGCCAAAAGTTTTTACTTTTGCTTCTTTTTATTTTTTATTTTATTTTTCAAGAAGATAAACATATGAAAATTAAAAGGGTTCAAAGCTTCCAATATATGCCAAGACGATGCAAAATGCCAGAGACAATGCTCCAAAACAGAATTTCTGCAAAGATGACATAGAGCAATATGCCTACCCTTCTTGAATGCCAGACTCCGATGAAAATATGCTTTTTGATCCAATATATCTGCAGTTGGTTAACACAAACCATTCATAAGTCTTTAAAAGTACAATGACAGACAAGAATTTTGGGTCTTCTTGTCGGGAAAAATCAAGTGCAACTTTAGAAATTGGAAAACTGGATTAAATGATCAGAAACTTGTTCAACTTTTTTCCAAGATCATGTAAAACAAAATTGCACGATGACTAGGAAATCCAGCTTAAAAGAAAGATATTCATATCTGATTCAACAAAGAAACTTGGTTCTCAACATTTAAGGACGCCCAATTTGAGGGAAAAACGAGAACATACTAGTGCATTATGGGGGTCATCATAATACCACCCATTAACGAATCCCGCAAAAATGCCTGCCGCTGCCATTACGTAGACAAGCATGGCGTTCATGCCAATCCACTCCAGTGGCAAGAATACGTACCTGAAATTTGAGATATCAACCTGGCATTGCAGTATGTTGAACTTTTATTAGAGTTGATAAGACCTCATCGAGAGAATATTTAGCTCCGCTACGTGAAGACTATATGGTTTGGCAACTTGAACAGGAAAACAATCACAAGAGAAAAACTAAAATTCAATTATAAAACTATACCATTATGTAGAAGGATGAGAACACCAGTGCTGCCGCTCCAGATGTCACACAAATATAGCTAAGAGTGTACAATTGTTTATTTAAAGGAATTGCTGCGGTTGGGAAAAGAAAAGTTGTAAATTAATACCCAAAAGTATAATAAAATAGTTGCACGTTTTGAAACTCGGTTCCCACCATCTGTGAAGTGAAGAATAATTCCTGAGACGACGAGAACAGAACCCATCGAGATCCAGTGCTTCAGTCTTTCTTGATGGCCCTGTAATTAAAAGTAGGAGCATATTGAGCAACATTTGACGTAGTGATGCACTAACTAAGAAAGATGCAGAACTAACCTTCAAATGGATAAGCACATGCCCAAAATGCAGTCCAATGATTGTGGAAAGAATAGCAGATATAGAGCTGCAGGAGGAAGTAAAATTCCAGTAAAAATAAGTTTCGGAGACTTTAAAACTTGCAACTTGATCAATAAACACATATGACTGCCTTCTTCGTATTACCTATTATCTACAAGAATGGAGCAATCAAGAAGGTTGGTTCTTCACTATACGGGTCCAAAGAGAAAGGCCATGTCTCTTAGTATCGTGGTTCTAATTGTCAATGATTTTTTCCTACTTCATGTTTCCAAGTTTACCAACTATTACAGCTCTTAATCCGAAGGCATTCAGAAGAAAATAGTGAAATTTTAACGAAATTAAAATATTCTACTTTGCTCAAATATGACCCGAGAAATTTTGTTGTTGCTGCCAATTTTCAAGCAATTGGTCATGTCTCTAGAGCATTGGTGCTTAGCTTCACTCTTCAATCGCCCTAAAGCAGGGGATTTAAATATTGTAAGAAATAACTCGTGTAGCACACAACAGATAGAATTTGACTAGTCGGCTGACTTGCACTAAATGTATATAGTATACTGATAAAGTACGCAAACCTTAAAATTCCTTCAGGTTCAAAAGGACCATAGCACCATGAGGGAGCATCCTTCCGGAAAGGCCCTTCATATGGGGAGTTCTCGGTGCAAGCCTGTAGAACTTAAATTGATGAAATTTTGAAACTACTACTTATTATACACACAGTATGGAATTCACAGGTACATGCAGTGTCAGAAATAATAGCTACACACTTCAGATCTTCTCCAAGCTGGATGGCGATACATGTGACTGAGTCCCAGGACTTTTCTGTCTATGTATCCTACTGCATTACAAGGTGGGTCCAGATTTCCCCTCACACCGCATGCTACCTAAAATCAACAGAGAATACAGATGATGATGATGATGATGATGATGAGACTTTGTTTTGATCTGTCCTTTTTGCTCCTTTAAACATTCGAGCAGGGAAGACAGTGCCTTATATTCACTTGGACAAGCGAAAAACAAAGTACCATGACTTCAAATTTAAAGACTGCCTAAAGTGAAGGATTATCTATTGACGTTTGAAGGATTTTTATTGATTTTATGCAAGTTGTTTGTAGTTAAAGACAAGATCTCCGAGATAGGGGCTCACATTGAAGCTCTTGCCATAATTGATACTATCTTTATTCTGGACAATGAATTGCCAATCAGGAACATATGTCCCATAAAGTGCAGCCAAGTACACAACAAGAACACCTGCTCCCACAATCCTGAAAATTCAGCATCAGCAAATTCGAGTCAGATTAGTTAACAAATATTATAAGATTGCACCATGGGGACAATAATCTAAGCATCATATACTTACCAATGCCAAAAGTATAACTTGAATATAGAGAACCACCCAGGCGGAAGATCCTCCACTTGCGAATCTCTTGAAAAGATTTCCAATACAGCTACAACCAGATAAGCAAGAGCAATTCTCTATAAAGGGGAGGGGGGAAAAAAAGAATGGTTACATATATCCATGCCCAATAAAACTATGCTCTACGAATTCAATACTAACAAAACAAATACGCAAATGCAAAATACCTGGAGAATTCCACACCACCTTATCTCTTTCATGTCTACACCATATGTTAGCTCGTCGGGAGCATGTGAGAAACCACCTTCAAACATAATAAGGATTGTAAAAGTGAGGTCTAGAATTGTACTTTCTATTATCCATTATTACGTGAGAAACAGCTTGGAATTGATATTATCTACAACTTCTTCCTCTTCTTTCTCTCCTAACTGGTTATATAACCTTGCAAAGATATGATATATTGTAAAAGTAGTCTCGACAGAAGTGAGGCATATGAAATACATAGGACATGGTATGATACAAAAGAAAACCAACCTTGCAATAGAAGACCCCAGAACAGGAGTTTCAGAGTTCTCAGAATCACCTTTTTGATGGCACCTAACTGGTCGGGGATTCTCTACATGGGAAAAGAAAAAGGATTGACAACCTGAGTGGTCATTTCTTCGCTTCCATTTGTTGATAAGACCACTCAGAACTTTAACTAACCTTTAGAGCAAGTGCAATAGCCATCCCCACAATGAACAAAAAGAAGGGCATTACAAAGTCGGCGAGATTGCAACCATTCCATGGTGCATGGCCAATCATAGGCCATTCGCCGCCAGCATCGTCCACCAAAATCATCAACTAGAATACGTATGACGACGTTAAAAGTAGGCAGTATGCAAAATCACAAACAATTGTTGATGAAAAAGTAATAAGCAACAAGATATAAACATGTAAAACTACTGAACCTGCTGGCCATGATATTAAGATTTTTTTTTTTTTTTTTTTTTTTTTTTTTTACCTTTAAAATTTTTTTTTTTTTTTTTTTTTTTTTTTTTACCGTTTTCGACTTTTATTTATATCTACATACATGTGGTAGAAGTTATAAGGGATTAAAGCCAACCCGGTTCCAAAAAACACTCTTAAAGCAACTTCTTACAGCAAAAATAGGATTCTAACAGCGGGTCTGAAGACTCAACATATTATATAACCGCTTATCTCTTTTTCTAAGGTGGTACATACTGAAATAGTATAAAGTTCAGAACTTGAGAACAACTGAATTCAAAGACAAAAGAATTAGAAAATGATTGATAAGTACCGCAACGGTAAGACCACGGAAGATGTCCAGAGAAGCCACGCGTTTTGGTTTCTGAAGCTTTTGAACAGGCACATCGTCTTCCGGTACAGAAACATTGTGTTGGTGAGTCGTATCTGCTTTGATCTCGGCCATCGGAGCTTCCCCAGTTCAGTTCAACCTTGACGGACCAAAAATGAAAGGAAAAAGAAAAGAATTGCCAACACTACCTGCTTTGATCTCGGCCATCGGAGCTTCCCCAGTTCAGTTCAACCTTGACAGACCAAAAATGAAAGGAAAAAGAAAAGAATTACCAACACTATAAGAAAAAAGATACCATGAGATTCTGTCATCTGATAACACTGATGTGGGCCCTGACTGAAAGGATAAGACAAATCTGTTCGTGCCAATAAAAATCCAAAAGAAAAAGAGAAAAGTATGCCAAAGATGCAAAACGACATATTAATCACATAAGACAAACCAAAAGAAGCCATGTGCAACATATCAGTCCTTACAGAACTAGTATCACTGTATTATTAGGAAAATAAGCATCATTCAGTGACAGTATGACATCGGCAAAATGTCTAACTGCAAATTGTTATTTGTATTTTGACCTGTACTCGTCAAACCACAGTTTCAACATCCCCGGTACCCAATGTTTCTGAAGGGTATGCAAATTAAAATTTTAAAGTGCACTTTCTTTAAATGAAAAGAACCCAAAGAAAAACATTATTCACAAAATGGGTATTGAAAACTTTTGAACAATAGATGCGCTAAAGTCTGTCTCATAATGCAGCATGTTGACCCTTTTTTACCACTGTCTCCAATTATCACTTTCCACTCTTCTTGTCTTCCTTTCCTCGGTTCAAACTCATGTTCTTTACACATACAATATGCAAAAAGTGAAAATACTGCGCATTATAAAGCAGAATATGGCTCACAGAAGCATTTTAGCATCTAACTAAAGATGTCAAATTTGTGGCAGAAAACTTGAAAGGACTGGGGACAAAAGAGTAAAAGACTCAACTTTATCATCAGAACTAATCTTAATTAAGAGGAGGAATGTTCTGGTCAGCAAACGACCAATCTCTAGTTTATCATCAGACGGATGCGCTTCTACAAGAGGCATCTATTATCCAAAGCTTGATCAATTTCATACAAGATATTCTGAGCTTTGAGGAACTATTGTGCCTTTTGGAGCACGTCAATGTCTGATTTGGCTAAATTGCATCATTCCAGATATCAACAACACCCAGTTAAAACTAAGTCAACTTTCTTGATCCCAAGGAAGGGAAAAAATAAAAAAAAGAAAAGAGGAAAAACAAATCTTGGAGATACTTTATTCTATTCTCTGTTGAATGTAAACACTTGACGCTGAAACTATACTTCATCTGTTTGGTTGACAAGAAACGTAGGAAATATGAGATCAGAAAATTCGCCTCAGAGAACTGTCACCCACACTTTACTAAAGGTTTCAAATTTTCCTTGATTTTCTCGGTGACCAAACGGGAAGTTAGAGAAAAGTGAAAAACTGAGTGAGGAGATGAAGAGAAAAACTCTCTGACTGAGAGTATCTCTTATTCTGGCGGCAAGACTGGACAGCGCAGGGAACGCAGCTCAGCAGATACCCAACAAAGATTTTATAAAAACTTTTAATTCAAAAGAACACAATTCCGTTGTCGTCCAGCGGTTAGGATATCTGGCTTTCACTCAGGAGACCCGGGGTCGATTCCCGGCAACGGAAAGCTCTTCTCTTGTTTTGTTTTATTTTCATAAAATATAAATGTGTTTTTTTTAAGATTAGTATTTATAATTTCGATATTGTAATCTTCAAGATGTTTTTTTATTTTCATAAAATATATTGTGTTTTTTTAAGATTAGTATTTATAATTTCTATCTAGAAAATTAATAGATTTTTTTTAATTTTCATAAAAAATATATATTTTTCCAAAATTAGTATTTATGAAATTGAAATTTAAAAGATTAATATTCTTCTCTCATTTTGTTTTATATTTTATAAAATATATTCTATATTGTACTCTAAAAAGATTTTTTTATTTTCATAAAATATATTGTGTTTTTCTAAGATTAGTATTTCTATATTGTAATCTAGAAGATTTTTTTTTTATTTTTCGTATTTTTTCCCTCGTTTTGTTTTATATTTTCATAAAATATAATTGTGTTTTTTTAAGATTAGTCTTTATAATTTCTATATTGTAATCCACAAGATGTTTTTTTCATTTTCATAAAATCTACTATGTTTCTCTAAGATTAGTATTTATAATTTCTATCTAGAAAATTAGTAGATTTTTTTAATTTTCATAAAATATATATATTTTTCCAAGATTAGTATTTATGAGATAGAAATTTACAAGATTACTATTCTTCTCTCATTTTGTTTTATATTTTCATAAAAAATATAATCGTGTTTTTCTAAGATTAGTATTTATAAATTCTATATTGTACTCTAAAAATATTTTTTTTATTTTCATAAAATATATTTTGTTTTTCTAAGATTAGTATTTCTATATTGTAATCTGCAAGATGATTTTTTATTTTCATAAATATATTGTTTTTCTCTAATATTAGTATTTATAATTTCTATCTAGAAAATTAGTAGATTTTTTGAATTTTCATAAAATATATTGTTTTTACAAGATTAGTATTTATGAGATAGAAATTTACAAGATTAATATTCTTCTCTCGTTTTGTTTTATATTTTCATAAAATATAATCGTGTTTTTCTAAGATTAGTATTTATAAATTCTATATTGTACTTTAAAAAGATTTTTTTATTTTCATAAAATATATTGTGTTTTTCTAAGATTAGTATTTCTATATTGTAATCTACAAGATTTTTTTTTTATTTTCATTAATTTTCATAAAATATATTGTTTTTTTCTAGGATTAGTATTTATGAGATAGAAATTTACAAGATTAATATTCTTCTCTCATTTTGTTTTACATTTTCATAAAATATAATTGTGTTTTTCTAAGATTAGTATTTATAAATTCTATATTGTACTTTAAAAAGCTTTTTTTATTTTCATAAAATATATTTTGTTTTTCTAATATTAGTATTTCTATATTGTAATCTACAAGGGGTGCATTTGAATTCATTCCACAATGATTTTGTTTTATGTATGAAAATGGAAATGAAAACGTTTTCGTTTTCATTTTCATTTCAGAATTATTTCTGAAAATGCGTTTGGTAGTTTTATTCAGAAATTGATTTCAGTTTTAACAAAATACTGAAACTGCGTTTGGTGGTTTAATTTTTGAAAACATGTAATAGTATTTAAAATAATAATATATTAAATAAATAATAATTGAATCTCAAATAAAAACACTAATAATTAATAAAATAATTTAAATTACATTACAAATAAATAGTAAATAATTTAAAATAAGATAACTTAGTGATTGATTAGTAAAAAAAAAAGTTTACTTAGTGAATAATCTTAGCTTATATTACTGCCATAAATACAAATCTCACATTTGATTAGCTAGATGATCCCTAAAATTAACCATGTGATTACGTTGTTGCCGACCACCCATTTTAGATGTTTCTGCTTCTTGTGCGTCCATATCCTGTTGTTGTCCCTGTTGCCCTTCTTGTTCTCCCTCAATATCTTCTAAGGGCAAATCGACATCATATTGTCTAAATAAAGGATCATCTCGCGCGTGCATCTTAATTAAATTGTGGATCACACAACAAGCAATTGGTATAAGCGATTGTCTTGGCATCCAATAATTGGTCATAAACCTAAGAATTTTAAACCTTACTTTCAAGACCCCAAAGCACCTCTCTATGGAATTACGTAGTGAAGAGTGATAATAATTGAATAACTCTTATGGTCCCGTTGGTTGGCCATTGTTTCTAAACTATTGAATATGGTACCTCTGACCACGAAATGGTGCCAAAAAACCTTGCGTGTTGCTGTAACCGGAATCCACAACATAATATTTTGGGTTAGGTGGCACCAAGAATCGATTCTCTAGATCTCTCAGTCTCAGTTAACACTCTGGAATCAACAGTTGATCCTTTCCATCCGGTATTGATGTAAGTGAATAGCATATTGAAAGTACACGCCGCCATTACAGTTTGAGTACACGAATGTCTTCTTCCTTTATAGACTGCCCGTTGATGTGCATGTGGGACAACCATTATGTGCATACCGTCTATTGTACCAATACAATCCTATTAAAATACATAAGGCGTGAGTTATGATTAATATAAAATAATTTGTCATATTATTAGTTTATGAGCAGAGTCAGATTGTACCTTAAATCATGGCCAGTACTTAGGGTTGTGTCGAATCTCTTGGCATGGCCAGTATTTAGGGTTGTGTCGAATCTGGGGGGGGGGATGTTCATATTTGGTGGTTTTATAACTTCAGGTGCTAATGCAGACAATGAGATAATCACATTAGCAAAATGTCAGTGCATTGTCTCTCCAGAATGAGAAAATCTATCTTGTATTTCTCTATTGCGGTCTGAGTGAGCAATCATTCTTAAGAACATCCTTAGTGATTCTTCTGATGATATACTTGAAGGAGGCAAGAGGTTGTGGTCTTGAATTAACTAAACAATTACTTCGAATGTGTCTCGGTGCATACAACACACTTTGAACAAATTTTCGGGATGTCTATACAATTGTTCTAAAACATATTCTCGTCCAGTTAACGCAGAATTACGAAGAGGTTGCCTAGTTGGTCTGTTTATAAGCGACATCAGCAATTGGACACAAATTTGTGGCTCTTCATCATCATCTGATGAGTGAAGAAAGTCAACAATTGTGACATCATCCTCACTATTTGTAGCATCAGAATCCATATTAACCTAAAAAAGGAAACATGACTAGAACTAATCAAACATCCATATAGCATTAATTAATCAAACATCCATATAGCATGAATTAATCAAATAAAGAACTCCAATTTAACCCAATCCGCCTAGAAATAAATAACAAAGTCTAACAAACACAAGTCTGAGAGATAGTTCATGTTAGCGTTTATGCCCTTAGGAATAAATGTAACAATATTCTTTGAGATATTTTGACTATTAATAAATATTTGTTTATTTTATATATCTATGTATTGTCCTCTTTATGTTCATAATAGTTGAATGTATGATAAGCAAACTGAAAGTCTGAGACTGTCATTCTAAATCTTTAGGTCATGCATGTAATGTGAAGAATATGCGGAAGACAAGAATCTAAATATGGTAGTCTAAATCTTATGATCCACAATCGAGGGAATAAAGTTGGGCGCTTTATTCATGTTAAGATTGTTATGTTGTCTACTTCCTAACGGAGACGGCTTGTCTTGGTCATCGGAGGTGGGACTCCATGGGTGGAGACATTGATATAGTTTCTAATGGTGAAATCTATATTAGATCGGACCAAAGTTGAATTGTTTTAATTAATAATTCTGTTTGAATAAAACAATTCACTTTTGACAAATTATATGTTGTCATCTTAATCCTGAGATGGATGATGAACCTGTATACTTGACTTGTATCCTTGTATGTATTAAAGGGAGACATCCTGACATTATGTAAAGGTACGCTTGCCGGTACATTGAGGGTATGACTCGTGTATGCATAGATTCGTTATTCATAGATAGTGGAATCCATAGCTCCTATAAAGAGTCAATGATATCCTCTTATGCATTATCAGTGGATTGGAAAATATGAGCGCTCAGCCATTGGACTACTCTGTGTTATCTAATGGTTTACTGTTTGTAATGATACGAATAGTATTTTTCTGATGGTATGATAATGGAACATAAGATAAATGTAATCGGGAAGGTAAAACGGAACTTGACCTCAAGTCGATTACGGATATCCTATGGGGATGATACACTAATATATTGAGTCATGGACAAGAGCTAATCAGAGTTTTGTAAATACGCTATATAAATCGAGAGTGCAGCTCTAGGCTTTTAGTGGAATAGCGCTAGAGTTTTA